TGTGTATGCTTCAGAACTATGCTGATGCTACACTAATATGTGAATATTAGGTAGATTAGATTAGCTTTGTTTTTTTCTGTCATTGTCTCTTAATGGCCTCACCCTTTGTCTCAAATTGTCTTTATTTGCTCCGTGCTTCTAGGAACCTTTCTGAAATTTTTTGGAACTTTTGCCTTTTTGGTTTTCCATTATCCTGAATAAAATGTAAAAAACCCTCTTCAACCAACTGTCTGGATTTTTGGCTCAGAGAATTTGTAGTGCTAAAACAAGGCCTTGTGTTGACCAGCTACAGGGAGCTTTGGTATTTTTGTGGATGTGGTGGCAGTTCTACCTTACAAGGGGGCATTGAGTGCCTATCCTTGTGGATTTTTGGACTCCCTGCAGCAGAGTCCAGTCAAGATGGACTGGATGTTGGTAGGTACCAGGGCCAAGCAGGTTTAGCCACTCCAGGAGAAATGGGGTAGTGTGGCTAAATGGTTCAAATGAGACTCTCTGAACCTACAATTCTGTCACAAAGATATTCCTAGAAACAAAATTAAAAATGATCTTAATAGGCTTGGGCACTGGGCTGGGAAAACAAAGCAGAATGAAATTTATCAGGGATAAGTGCAAAGTTTTACACCTAGTGGGGGAAAAACAAACACACAGTTAGAAGGTGGGGGATATTTTGCTCGGTAATACTATGAGTAAGAAGGATCTTGGAACTGAATATGAGTAGACAGTGTGATGTGGTTGCAAAAAGAGTCAATGCTGTTTTAGGCTGTGTTGATGGGAGTAGACTCCAAATCCTATGGAGTACTAGTTTCCATCTATTTGGCACTGGTTAGACCTCACCTTGCGTACTGTGTCCAGTTCTGGACACTGCACTTTAAGAAAGATGCCAATCAAGTGGAACACGTTCAGAAGAGGGTGATAAGGGGGCTGGAAATCAAGCCCTATGAGGAAAGACTGAAAGAATTGGCCATGATTAGCCTTCAGAACCAAGCCCTATGAGGAAAGACAAAGAATTGGCCACGGTTAGCCTTCAGTAAAGAAGACTGGTGTGATATATGATAGCACTTTTCAAATAATCAGAAGATTGTCATCCAGAGGAGGTGTAGGAGCTGTCCTCAGTCATCCCAGAGTGCAGAATACATGACAATGGACTTAAATTACAGGAAGCCAAATATTAGGAAAAACTTTCCAGCTGCTAAACTGGTACAACAGTGGAACCAACTATTGCTGTAATACCATCTGTCAGATATACTCAGATTTGGATTTGTAGTGAAGAAGGCATTGGACTCCAAAGTCCTATAGGCTCCTTCCAACTCTATTATTCTATGATTTCATGATTCTAATTAAAAGAAAAAAGAGAGAGTGTTTCTTTTTCCTTAAGAGGTTGCACATTTTTGTTTTGGGCAAAACTGTTGTTACTATTATTATTTGCAAGTGACAGAAGATAAACTATACAGATGCTTTCTAAATTCCAAATTTGTTGAGAGAAATAAATTCAGGCATAGACGCACTATTTAAGGAATGCAACCAGCAGTATCCTCAGCTTTTTGGGAGCAAGATT